ATGTGGAATTTTTCAAGTTTTCTTCACTTTAGTAACACCTAAATAGGGCCAATTTTCCATAAAAGATCTCCCAGGTGGCATCCTCCCTTGGCAGATTGCCCACATGTCACATTGCCTTAAACTAAAGGTATTTGAACTGGAATAACCTTTGGATCTAACTACTGTCTTTTGCAAATGACATTAGTATATAATACCCATTTTTCCTCCCTAGTTACTATTAGGGCTGCCAACTTTTAAATTAACAAATTTTGAAAATAATGTGAATAAAATACACATTTGAAAAAGTGATGAGTAAAAGAAAACTTACATCTTGAAACATTTCCTCCTTTCCTTGATAATTATTGTTGATGATGAGACAGCCAGATGACAGGAGAGGTTACGGTGTCTGCCTACTATTTTGGGAAATATAGGTCCATTCTGGATAGATCAAGCTCTGTCCCTTGTTATCTTGCCAATGTCATTGTGGATCTGGTAGCAATAGGTATGATTAAAACAAATCTTAATGTCTATAGGGTGAAAAATAATTTTATGTTGTGTATTATAGGAATCCAATTTGTTAAAAATTAAGAAAAAACTTGAAAAATATAGTAGAATATTAGAATTTTATTCAGTTAGTTAAAGAAATGTTCAGATATGAATATAGAAATGAGAACAAAGGCAACAAATGAATTTGAAAAAGAAACTAATTTAAATTAATAACTAATTTAGTGTTTGAACTTTGGAGAATTTAAGAAAAAGTTGTAAAATTAAACTACTTAAGATAAAACAATATTTGATTAAAGTCTCCACTATTCCACAAATAAAATACAAATGTACAATGGAAACTTGATTATTGAAATCTGATGGTATCAGTGGTCTTCTGGATAATCCAGAAATGTGTTTCTGTGTTTTGGATACATTAAGCACTGTGCATTTAAATTTTCATGAACTATAGAAACTAGGCCATATTTGAAGGTTAATTTACTCAAAACTTAATGATGTAATGTCAGATATGGCCTAGTTTTGCAGTGATAAAATCAACAGATAACATAGTGATTTCCAGTTACATTTGGTTTCTATGCATGTACTCTGTGTATGTACAATGCTACATGTTCTGTTTTTATTTATTTATGAGGGTAAGTCAAAAATTATTTGCACTTTGGGCTGTAGAATTTATTGTAATCAACCTTCAGCAAGTCAAATATATCATTTCTCAACATAATCACCCTGCTTTTCAATACACTTTGTCCATCTGTCCACAAGTTTTCCTATTCTTCATTAAAAAATGTTTTCAGGTGAGCTGCAGAACCACTTAATGAAGGGGTAGGAAAACTTGTGGACAGATGGAAGAGTGTATTGAAAAGCAGGGCGATTATGTCGAGAAATGATATATTTGACTTGCTGAAAGTTGATTACAATAAATTCTACAGCTCAAAGTGCGGATAATTTTTCATTTACCCTTGTATTTATTTTATTTTTTGCAAATCATTTTGAATAATCAAGTTTCTATATCATTTAATAAATAAATCTATTTTGGAATGATTATATTACATTTATCAAAAGAATTGATTTTTTTTTTTTAACTCTCCATCCTGTGGGCACTAAGATGGCCTCTTTTTAGCAGGCCCATTATGGGTTCAGCCAGGGCGGCCGGGGGGTGAGGGACAGGGCCCAACATATCTGGATGGACCACCCCCGAAAAATTCCTGGGGATTTTTCAACATGTCCAGATTCAATTACGGGTTCCCCAGAACAGTAGGCTGCCACCTTGACCACTCGGCCATCCAGCTGTCAAGAATTGATTTATGATTCTGTATATGAGATTATGAAACAGAGATACTGAATTAACATAAGATCGCAATATCAAAATTTAGATTTATGTATCTAAGATATCAAAACTAAAAATTTTTATAAAAACATGAAAGAGAGAGATCATTTCATATATCCAGTCATTTATTATATGTAATCCTACTAATCTGAGCAACCCCATACAGTAATTAGTTCAGATTAGCTAGAATTAATTTTACTCAAGTTTATAATTTCTGCTTTTTTTTCTATTTTTATTTTAAAGTAAATTAATATCAAAAGTCAATGATTTTGCTTTGTTAAAATAATGTTTTAGTGATAAGATTAAAAATTCATAATCATTAAATGGTTAATGGTTTATTACTAACTTGTAAGAAGTAATAAAAATATATTATTAATTCCTTGAAGAAAATTAAATGCCATTTTTTATTTTAATTAATTTTTAAAGTAATTAGTGGAATAGTATAGTATCACATTTGACATATATTATGAGTCAATAGTTCCTATTCAATACACAAATAACATTTGTTGATTCATCATGTAGTCATTATGTATATCTTCAGGAAGTATATTATTAATTAAACATTTTTTATATCAAATAAGATTTATTGATTGAAGTGAAAAATGTAATTTAAAAAAGTCAGTAGTTTTTTCTAATGAAAATTAAATTGAAAGCAACATTTAAACAAGATTTAATAAATATTTTGTTTTTGAATTATTTAGTGCTCATCTTCAAAAGTTGTTAAAGAAAATTGAATTAGAATAAATTTAAAAATTCATTTCATTCAAATATATTATAGTGGAACCTCTCATAACGAGTAGTTCACATAACGAGCAAAACAAATTGTAAAAAAAAATGACTCACTTAACAAGTGACGTTTCACATAACAATTGACAAGAAGAAAGAAAGACCTGGATTGTGTGCATGCAACATCAGTTTTGTTTAGCACTCATTTCGCTAGCATCTTAGTGTCACTTATGATTATACATTTTTCCAAATCTGTGTTCAGACATATTACATATAAACATCAACAACCATAGCTTGTTATATAATAAACATGCCAAACAATATGCCAAATTCTTCAGCTATGTAAATGCTATAATTAAATATTAGAAATTACTGTATTTCAAATTTTTTTTTTCTGCAAATCGAATTTGCATTCCAGGTTGTTTCATTCCATGCTAGAAGAAAAGATAAAGATGATTTACGCTCCTTAAAGATTTATATTGTATAATTTTCTTTGAATAAATGTTATACAAAAATATTTGAGTATTTTTTTGGCATAGAACACATTATCGTATTTTACATGAATTTATATGGGAAAAATTGTTTCGCATTATGAGTAAGGTTCTGGAACGAATTATGCTCATTAAGCAAGGTTCCACTGTATAAGTATATAATTTAATGACTAAAATTGCATATATAACATTATCATTGATTGAAAAAATATAGCAGAAACAAATAATGATAATATAAAATGAGCTGTTATACCAGATTTCTAATAAAAATGATTGTTAATTTTGGATNTTTAAAAAAATTATGTTTTTTATTGCGATTTCCGACCTCCCGACTTAATTAAACGTATATATAATAAAATATATTAATTAGAAAAATTAAAAAACTATCGGAGGTCGTTTTTGACATCAGAAACTAGCTTTAAATAACTTTAGCGAAGTAAAATCCGTGCGCTAGAACTTTAGAACGATGAATGAAATTTGATTAAAAAAAATCCCATTAAAAAACAATTAAATGTTAATCGTGCGTCTTTAAAGGTAGATTAAAATTGCGATAAAATTTTTTTGCATGGGGAAAAAAATTTGGAGACAAAAAACATCCAAAAAAAATTTTTTTTCGGAGAGCCCATATGCCCGAGTTTTATGTAACACTATGTAACCTGCCCGAGTTATTTTGGCCTAGAAACTAAACGGGATATATATATCAATATATCAGAAAACTTTTGATGCTAATAAAGCAGTTTTAATGTTTTCTGAAGATCAGGCATGATTAACAAGTAATTTTCATGGAAATATAAATTCCATATTTCAACCATAAAATCTTTTAATTATAGCTATGGATTGTTAGTGCTATGCTGTATAAGATGATGAGTGATCATGTGAAACATTTTAACACAGTGAAAAGGGCACTTGCATACACTGAAGAAGAAACACAAGATAGAGTATGCTTTTTGTGTTAATGGTCTATCTCTATGTTGTTATTTAGAAATTGTTTCATTATGCCAAAAACAATTTCAGTTATGTACAAAATGAGCCTACCATACAGAAGCAAAACTTATGGTTTAAGAGGTTTAGTGGAAAAATAGAATATCCCACAAAACTACAAAAATTGAGTTGTTGTAGTCTGTGCAGTGAGAGAGTAGACATGAATCAAACTGAACAGATAGTATCTATGTCAGATGAAAGGGATGGAAGAAGACATGTGATTAATATGTGAGTAATATTAGAACTAAGTGTAATAAAATTTATAAAATAAAAAGGAAAACAATAAAATTTTTTATGATAAAGATAATATAAAAATGTTTTAGAAATGTAAAAACAAAACAGCTGAAAGAAATCAGATCGATGACTCAGTTCCCAAGGGAGTTAGCCACGTCTTCCATCCCTTTCAACTGACATAGATTCTTCCAGCTCAGGCTGACTCGTGACTACTCTTTTGCTGTGCAGACTATAACAACTTTGAATTTGTACCTCAACAATATGCCTTCTAAGAAACTTTCATGGTTCATTTGCATGTCCCATGGGTTATACACCCACATTAATAAAACATTATATATTAAAATTCTGGTGAATTGAAAGATAAAATCCTCATTTTTATTTAAAATGTCATAATGTGGGATATGCCATTTTTCTACAAAGCCTCTCAATTATCAAGTGAATGAAAATAAAATTAATTTTTGTTATAGTGAATGATAAATGGTACTGTTTAGTTTATGCCTAGTGTCTTTACCAAAAAGAAGTAACTTACATCATCCTACATGATGCTGGATTAGTGATGTCAACCTGGATATATTTTTTGAATCTGAAATCTCACATAAATAATAGGCCTCTCTAATAATTCTTTGTATTTTATAAATATTTGAATACTTTAACTCACAATATTCAAATTTAATGAATTTTAAGTGTTCTTGAATTTTTTGATACAGATTTATTAAAATTTAAAATTTCTAAAATTTATTATTTCTTATCTTTGAATTTAGGTGAGTTACTATTTTCCACTGAAGACATTGTGGCGCTCCTTTTTTTGTGCCCTTATAGCAGCATTTGTGTTACGTTCAATTAATCCCTTTGGTAATGATCATTTAGTCATGTTTTCTGTGGAGTATAAAAGACCTTGGATATTTATTGAATTAGTTCCTTTTATATTATTAGGAATTCTTGGTGTAAGTACTTAAATATTTCATTTCAGTGACATTATATTTTTATAATATATTTGTATTTATAATGTGTAATTAACATTGAGTTGTCAATTATTTATTAACTTGAATTCATTTGTTTTGTCATTTCCATATTAAAGTAACTGAAAAAATTGAAATTCTTTATTATAATACTAATTATTGGTTTCTTATATTAACATTATATAAATAATAATTTTAAACAAATGAGAAATTTTTTTATTTTTAAATGTTAGAGATTTTTTCTGTTCAGAAAGAAACATTATACACAATTTCAGTCATAAATTTAAAAATGGACTAAAGACTATATTTAAATAATTCTTTGATCATTTTTTTAATATTTGCAATTGGATTTCTTAATAATGTGTTGAAAAAATATTTGTATTTCTGGAGAAAATACATTTAACATCATACTTGCAAATGTGCTTATCAGAATATATATGTTTGACAATAACAAAAGATCTGTATTATTAAAGTTGTCAGAAGTGTGGTTTTTACTATTATTTTATACATGAAGTAAAGGATAAATTTTTGTGAAATGATTTATTTTATATTTATTTTCAGGGTGTTGTTGGATCAATATTTATCAAAGGAAATATTCGATGGTGCAAATACAGGAAAGAATCTAAACTTGGACAATACCCTATTACAGAAGTAAACTTATTTTTATTTTTATTTATTGTACTTGTGCTCATAAAAATGTAAATATTAAATAATGATTGTTGTTATTTTAGGTTTTGGTTATAACTCTTATAACAGCAGTTATTAGTTATCCAAATGAATTTACAAGAATGAATGGCAGTGATTTAATTAAGTTATTATTTAGTCAATGTGGAATTGCTGATGTCTCTCCACTTTGGTATGTTTCTTAGTTCCATTAGAAAGATTATAAAAAATGTTAAGAATTATTCTCTCGTGTTTATATGATGTAGATAATATAATGTCACCTGAAAAAGTTTATTTTTGCAGTATAGTAATATAGTAAATATTTACAATATCAAATATATCAAATTTTAGTTATAAATATTTTGAAATAGATTAATTGAATAGTAATTTTGAAATAATTTATTTATTAGTTATTTATTTATATTGTTTATCAATCAATTATGACAGTTTCATATATAATTTGAGTGATAACTAAATAAATAATGAAAATTAAGCAAGGTGAAAAAAATCATAAAAAAATAATTTGTGATAAATGAGAACAATTTATTAATGTTTCATTAGATGCATATTAAATGAGGATGATACATCTTGGTCACTTCTGATATTAGTTCAAGAATTGTTCTCAAGATACAGTAGAACCTCGAAAACTCGGCCTAATGTGGACCGAAGGGTGGCCGAGTTTGCGAAAATGCCGGGTTATCGGGAATGGGGTTAAAAAAGGATAAGTATGCGTGTTTCCTCAGAAAATAGTGTACTGTACTTGTATGTATTGTTAACTTGAGAATACAACAGAGAATAAACTGCCCAAATACCCTTAAACAAAGGAAAAGTATGTACTTTATGAAGGCATAGAGCCTTTACTACATGAAAATGAAAATTAATGAATACAGTGTACGGTAATTTACTTGATAAGACAGACCTCAGAAAAGCATAAAGCTGTCTACAATGAAGTTATCTAGCCGACTTTTCAAAAACTGGCTACTTTTTTTTAAAAAAATGCGTAATGTCCTGTTGTTTTCCGCACTGCACTCTGCGTTTTGCTGCTTCATCACGAAGACGACGAAGGAACAGTAAGTCCATTACCGACGCACCTTGTTGTTCAAAATACTGAAGGGCGTTTTCGACAGCCTTTAGTCCCTCACTATGTGATATTTTAGGAGCTTGTACGGTGTAGTCCTCAACGTCAATATCTTCATCATTTTCCGGCATTTTTTCATTGACTGTGACAACAGCAATAATTTCTGCATCGGACATACATAATGTCTTGCTCCGTATCGTTCTGGAACTACTGTTCGACGTCATTTTCATCGGCTTCTGCACATCCAGGAACTCTTTTCAGCAGGTCGAGTAAGTTTATATTTTCTGTATCATCATGTTCAACGAACTCATTTCCCTCGTGATCAAGGAGTTTTCGCCAGGAACGAACTAGTGTTAATGACTCTAACTCGTTCCAGGCGTCTGTCACCCAGCCAACAACATCCAATAGGTTAATTCTCTTTAAGTTCTGGATAAGACCTTGATCATCATCGTTTGCAGAAAGAAGGGAGGATAACAGCTTGCGCCTATATCTTCTCTTGAGACTAACCAAAACTCCTTGGTCCATTGGCTGGCATAACGCTGTGACATTGGGCGGTAAAAACATTGCTCATATGTCACCATCTTTTAACTCTTCAATGTCTGGGTGCGAAGACGCGTTGTCCAAAATCAGAATAGCCTTCCTTGGCAGGTTTTTAGATTTTAAAAACTGCTCAACCGATGGAACAAATACTTCATGAAACCATTCTTTGAAAATTGCACAGTTCATCCAGGCATGTGACTGGTTTCGGTACCAAACTGAAAGTTTACCCATTTCAATGTGCTTAAACGCACGTGGTTTCTTTGATTTTCCTATGAGACCAAGCTTTAATTTGTGCTCACCTGTTGCATTACTGCATGCTAGGATTGTTACCCTTTCCTTGCTTCTTTTAAAACCTGGGGCTGATTGTTCTTCCTTGAAAGCAAGACTTTTCGCTGGTAGCAGTTTATAATTTAACCCTGTTTCATCACAATTGTACAATTGCTCTCCAGTCAAACCTTCAGCTTCGATAAATTTCTGAAAGTTATTTTTAAACTGAGACATACTCTCCGTGTTTCCAGATAATTTTTCCCCACAAGTACTAAGCTGCCGGACTCCATAGCGTTTCTTCCAGCGCTCAAGCCAGCCATTGCTTGCGACAAATTTAGAATCGTTGTCTTTTTTAAATTCTCCGTAAAATTTCAAGGCTTTTTCTTTCAAGATTGGCCCACTAATTGGGGTGCCCTTCTCTCTTCTTTGGCGAAACCAAATGTAAAGTGCTTCACTTACCTCATTAAAGTCACTTTCCTTCATATTTTTCCTTTCTTTCAATGTTTCTGTACACATTCTGTTAACACACCACGACTCGATTTCTGTCCGCTTCTTCTTCCAGTCTCTAATCGTACTTTTGCCAACTCCCAAGTCCTTAGCCACTGCACTGACACTTTCTCCGTTATCCAGTCTCTTTAATGCCCGCAACTTTTGCTCCATAGACATGTTCACTTGTTTTCTTTTAACGGAAGATGCCATCGCAGAGTACTGTTGTCGTGATGGAATCGTTTAGATGTACGGTTCCCGCGCTTTTCCTCTTTTTCAAACAAGCAACGGTTGTCGCCATAGAAATACGGATTGAGAAACGACCGTTAGTTTTGAAAACAGAATAGATGATTGGTCGTCGATCATCGGACGATCGCACGGACCTCCAATAGGACTACGAAGCGCTCATTGGTCAATCAGCGCTATCTTCATTCTATATAAAAAGATTTAGTTTAAACGGGAGAGTTAAGTTCGCCTAAGTTCGTTTTCGCCCTGCCAAGGTGTGCGCGAGTTATCCGGAGTGCCGGGTTATCGAGGGCCGAGTTTTCGAGGTTCTACTGTACTTCAAAATTTATAATAGAAGAAGAAAATATGAAATTAACCAAAATAAAGTTATTTTATTTCTATTTTGCCATGGATAGCAATGAACATGTTTAATTTAGTCATTAAGTATTTTAATTAGTTACATACAATGTATAAAACAATAAATACATATTATAGTGATAGAATGGAGATTCTACCTTCAAAGAAAATGACAAAAATCTGAAAGTATCAAACTCTTATTAAAAATTTAATATAAAAAGCAAACTGAATAAAGTATCAAAAATTAATTAAAATTGGCTGTGAAGTCTGTCTACCAGAAGTTTTTTCGGATTGAAGAGACATTACTTAATAAATCAACAGTTAAAAATTGACTGATTTATAACTTTGTGACTAAATGGCAAGCCAGAGAATGAATCAAAAAAACTCTTTCTCTTCAAATAGAACAATTCTTCATTTTTATATGCATAATTTTTTTCAAGATATATATCTTAAAGATTATAATACTTTCATATAAATAGATAAATAAATAAAACTCACGCCAAAATTGTATAGCTTCTTGATAAAAAGCACTGAGTTCAGCGTTATCGTATTAACGCTGAACTCAGTGCTTTTTATCAAGAAGCTATAATACTTTCTATAATCCTTTATGTAAGATGTGTTTTAGTAAACATATATTATACCCAGGAAGAAAGAATCATAAGAATGCTATTAAATTAAACATACAGATAATAATGACAACAATCAAATCTTATATTTAAAAAAAAATGATGAGTTAAAAAGTAACATTATTATAAAATTTAATTTTTTAAAACAATTATCCAGAATTGGGTGAACTGGACTAATAAAGGGGCTTTAGATATTTAGTATAGTAAATAAGGTGAAATAATAATATTAAATTAAATATTAATAAAAGGAATTATTTGTTTTAATTTTAATCTATTGGGTGTGGCTGAATGAGTTCTAATAAAAATTACAAGTGATGGCTTATCATTCTTATCTAAGTTCTAATTAAATTTAATAATTTATTTAGCATTTCATCACCAAAAAGAACCACTGATTTTGAGAAATTCATTAAAATGTCTTGACAAATCATGCTGTTTATTAGAGTATTTATAATAAGTATTAAATATTGATATAATTGTTGAAAGATTTTAAATTAATCATTGATAAGGAAAGATAATTTAATGTTTTCAAATTATATAGAGAAGGAAGAAAAAGATATAAAAAATAATTATGGCATAAATAGGCCCAGGAATTAAAATTTTATTAATTTATAATTTATAAGGCATTATTGTGTAACAGAATAACATCCTTCCTATTTATCAAATATGGATGTTTTTCTTGGAATTTTTCACAAAGTTTTTCCAATTACTGGCATTTACTGGATCATTTGGATTCAACAACTCAAAATGCACTATTTTTCTCAGATCCCACCACACAAATAGGAACACATTTCAAGGAGGAAGATTACACTTTGGTACTTGAGTCTACCAGTGACCAAGTGGATAAAACCACTGAACACTGGTAGTCGGTTGTGGATTTGTGCCTCGCCAACAAGCTGGCCATGTGGAATTTTTCAAGTTTTCTTCACTTTAGTAACACCTAAATAGGGCCAATTTTCCATAAAAGATCTCCCAGGTGGCATCCTCCCTTGGCAGATTGCCCACATGTCACATTGCCTTAAACTAAAGGTATTTGAACTGGAATAACCTTTGGATCTAACTACTGTCTTTTGCAAATGACATTAGTATATAATACCCATTTTTCCTCCCTAGTTACTATTAGGGCTGCCAACTTTTAAATTAACAAATTTTGAAAATAATGTGAATAAAATACACATTTGAAAAAGTGATGAGTAAAAGAAAACTTACATCTTGAAACATTTCCTCCTTTCCTTGATAATTATTGTTGATGATGAGACAGCCAGATGACAGGAGAGGTTACGGTGTCTGCCTACTATTTTGGGAAATATAGGTCCATTCTGGATAGATCAAGCTCTGTCCCTTGTTATCTTGCCAATGTCATTGTGGATCTGGTAGCAATAGGTATGATTAAAACAAATCTTAATGTCTATAGGGTGAAAAATAATTTTATGTTGTGTATTATAGGAATCCAATTTGTTAAAAATTAAGAAAAAACTTGAAAAATATAGTAGAATATTAGAATTTTATTCAGTTAGTTAAAGAAATGTTCAGATATGAATATAGAAATGAGAACAAAGGCAACAAATGAATTTGAAAAAGAAACTAATTTAAATTAATAACTAATTTAGTGTTTGAACTTTGGAGAATTTAAGAAAAAGTTGTAAAATTAAACTACTTAAGATAAAACAATATTTGATTAAAGTCTCCACTATTCCACAAATAAAATACAAATGTACAATGGAAACTTGATTATTGAAATCTGATGGTATCAGTGGTCTTCTGGATAATCCAGAAATGTGTTTCTGTGTTTTGGATACATTAAGCACTGTGCATTTAAATTTTCATGAACTATAGAAACTAGGCCATATTTGAAGGTTAATTTACTCAAAACTTAATGATGTAATGTCAGATATGGCCTAGTTTTGCAGTGATAAAATCAACAGATAACATAGTGATTTCCAGTTACATTTGGTTTCTATGCATGTACTCTGTGTATGTACAATGCTACATGTTCTGTTTTTATTTATTTATGAGGGTAAGTCAAAAATTATTTGCACTTTGGGCTGTAGAATTTATTGTAATCAACCTTCAGCAAGTCAAATATATCATTTCTCAACATAATCACCCTGCTTTTCAATACACTTTGTCCATCTGTCCACAAGTTTTCCTATTCTTCATTAAAAAATGTTTTCAGGTGAGCTGCAGAACCACTTAATGAAGGGGTAGGAAAACTTGTGGACAGATGGAAGAGTGTATTGAAAAGCAGGGCGATTATGTCGAGAAATGATATATTTGACTTGCTGAAAGTTGATTACAATAAATTCTACAGCTCAAAGTGCGGATAATTTTTCATTTACCCTTGTATTTATTTTATTTTTTGCAAATCATTTTGAATAATCAAGTTTCTATATCATTTAATAAATAAATCTATTTTGGAATGATTATATTACATTTATCAAAAGAATTGATTTTTTTTTTTTAACTCTCCATCCTGTGGGCACTAAGATGGCCTCTTTTTAGCAGGCCCATTATGGGTTCAGCCAGGGCGGCCGGGGGGTGAGGGACAGGGCCCAACATATCTGGATGGACCACCCCCGAAAAATTCCTGGGGATTTTTCAACATGTCCAGATTCAATTACGGGTTCCCCAGAACAGTAGGCTGCCACCTTGACCACTCGGCCATCCAGCTGTCAAGAATTGATTTATGATTCTGTATATGAGATTATGAAACAGAGATACTGAATTAACATAAGATCGCAATATCAAAATTTAGATTTATGTATCTAAGATATCAAAACTAAAAATTTTTATAAAAACATGAAAGAGAGAGATCATTTCATATATCCAGTCATTTATTATATGTAATCCTACTAATCTGAGCAACCCCATACAGTAATTAGTTCAGATTAGCTAGAATTAATTTTACTCAAGTTTATAATTTCTGCTTTTTTTTCTATTTTTATTTTAAAGTAAATTAATATCAAAAGTCAATGATTTTGCTTTGTTAAAATAATGTTTTAGTGATAAGATTAAAAATTCATAATCATTAAATGGTTAATGGTTTATTACTAACTTGTAAGAAGTAATAAAAATATATTATTAATTCCTTGAAGAAAATTAAATGCCATTTTTTATTTTAATTAATTTTTAAAGTAATTAGTGGAATAGTATAGTATCACATTTGACATATATTATGAGTCAATAGTTCCTATTCAATACACAAATAACATTTGTTGATTCATCATGTAGTCATTATGTATATCTTCAGGAAGTATATTATTAATTAAACATTTTTTATATCAAATAAGATTTATTGATTGAAGTGAAAAATGTAATTTAAAAAAGTCAGTAGTTTTTTCTAATGAAAATTAAATTGAAAGCAACATTTAAACAAGATTTAATAAATATTTTGTTTTTGAATTATTTAGTGCTCATCTTCAAAAGTTGTTAAAGAAAATTGAATTAGAATAAATTTAAAAATTCATTTCATTCAAATATATTATAGTGGAACCTCTCATAACGAGTAGTTCACATAACGAGCAAAACAAATTGTAAAAAAAAATGACTCACTTAACAAGTGACGTTTCACATAACAATTGACAAGAAGAAAGAAAGACCTGGATTGTGTGCATGCAACATCAGTTTTGTTTAGCACTCATTTCGCTAGCATCTTAGTGTCACTTATGATTATACATTTTTCCAAATCTGTGTTCAGACATATTACATATAAACATCAACAACCATAGCTTGTTATATAATAAACATGCCAAACAATATGCCAAATTCTTCAGCTATGTAAATGCTATAATTAAATATTAGAAATTACTGTATTTCAAATTTTTTTTTTCTGCAAATCGAATTTGCATTCCAGGTTGTTTCATTCCATGCTAGAAGAAAAGATAAAGATGATTTACGCTCCTTAAAGATTTATATTGTATAATTTTCTTTGAATAAATGTTATACAAAAATATTTGAGTATTTTTTTGGCATAGAACACATTATCGTATTTTACATGAATTTATATGGGAAAAATTGTTTCGCATTATGAGTAAGGTTCTGGAACGAATTATGCTCATTAAGCAAGGTTCCACTGTATAAGTATATAATTTAATGACTAAAATTGCATATATAACATTATCATTGATTGAAAAAATATAGCAGAAACAAATAATGATAATATAAAATGAGCTGTTATACCAGATTTCTAATAAAAATGATTGTTAATTTTGGATACATTGTAAGAAAATGAAAAGTATTTATTTTAACTATTTATAATTATCCAAATTCATTTAATGATTATTAGATATTTAATAATTGGATTCTCAAATTATTAGTAATTATATAAAGAAATAATTATTATATTTATTTATTAGTAAACTTTTAACTAATCTGTATTAATTTAATCATTATATAGTTTGTTCTCATTAAGTAAAGTTTGTTCTCATTTAGTATAAACTTTGCACTTGTTATTTATAAATATTTAAACAAATTATTTTTTATGTTGAAATGTTAGTGCTTATATTTGTTACTGGAATGCATCTCTGAACTTTTAACAGTATTTGGCTACAGTACTGGCTACAACTATTAAAATAGAATGTTTATACAGTCGCAGGTGGGGCTTTGTGTGGCACTCTGGGAGTGAGATGTTTTACGTTGCGAGGCATGCAGGAGAGGCTGTCAAGTCGGAAGGGATGGGGATTGTAACAGATTGTAACTTAAAGGTGATGAAGAACCAGGACTACTCATGGGTATTGCCTGGGGTGAAAGGGTGGGTAAGAGAAAAGGATTAAGAGAAGAGGTGAAGGGGAAAATTAAAGTGAGATAGGAAAGGAGATGAAAAGGGAAGTTTGATGGGCACCTGCGTCGGTTTTTTATTTATAAAACAAATTTACAAAATAAATACAAAAGACATATATACAATACAATAACAGTTGAATCACCCTTCTTGGGTGAATACAATAAAGAAAATATGTAACAATGTATATGAATTAAAATTACAAAAATAATAACGAATACAGAATTAGACAGGTCACTGTCTTTTCCCAACAGTAAATAACATTTGTATACAACAGTCTTGATGATTCTGGAATAACAATTGAGTCCATACAGAAACACAAAACTTGATCAGGGCTTTGAGAACACTGAAGTGTAGAAAAGTGCGGTCCTGTTGTGACTCAGCAACTGCACTTGCCGACTTGGAAAGCACTAGTTGTTAGAGTTTCGAATGTCCTGAACTCCGAATGAAGTCATAAAGTTCTTTGTATATGTTCTTATTTGAAATAAGAACTTCTGTCTGACAGGGCCAGTTGTGACCTTCCTGTAGCACTGTTTGTAGTAATTTATTATGTCCTTGATCATAAGTTTTACAATGAAAAATTAGGTGAAAAGTATCTTGACGGAAGGGAAGGTAAGTAGAAAGATGTAGGTAGTGTGGAAGGTGCCTGACAGGTGTCCACAACATACAACCTATGTAATAGATTGAAGAGGGGTGAAAGCCAAAAATGCATATCTGTATGGATTAAAAGTTGATGATGAAATTATTTGCCAAGTGTCAATAAATTCACCAAGTCGTGACATTGAACCAAGCAAAACAAGTATTTTAAATGTTATGTAAAAGTTTTTATGAATGTAAGATTTTATTCCAGTAGCTATTTATGAGTTCTGATTAACTGCACTACTCTAGAATTATGAAATATTGAGTCTTAACTATCTCATAATCCCATAGTAGTACAGAGTTTTTTTAAATGAAATTTGTATACTGAATTTATATACTATAGTAATGAAACAATATGTTATTTAGTGACTACAGCCGCAAATTTAATACTGTTAATGGTCCAGTACAAATAGCAGAGGCAAACAGTGGTGTATATAAATCACTTGGACTTTTATCACTTGCACTCATCTTTAAATTAATCATTACTGTCTTCACTTTTGGGATAAAGGTAAACAGATTTTTAAATATTAATTAGAATATATCTAAAATTTGTAAATCATAGCCAAATAGTTTGCAAATTTTCATTCGTAAATTTCATACTTAATGAATATTATTAAATTTTATATATTTTTAACATTTAATATTATTTAGTTTCATATGTAATATGTATTAATAATACATATGAAACTAAATAATATTAAATGTCAAAAATGTAATATGTAATATGTATTAATAATACATATTACATATGAAAAAAATTAATGCAAACGTTTTGATTGATAAACACATTTATTAATATTTAGAATATTAATTATCACATGACAATAAAGTGAAGGTGACATATTTATTATTTTGTTATTAAGGGACAAATGTTTTACTAATAAATGTTAATAATACTTTTGTCTTATATCTTATATATATATACCATATTTACTCGCATATAAGACATGGTTTTTATTCATTTTTCACTGCTTCAAAAACCTAGGTTGTCCTAATTGTGTGAACAAAGGATTCTTTGCATTTTTGCAATAATTTCTGTGAACTGTGTGTACTTCATGCTGTCTTTATAGGTCTACAGTCTATTTATCATAAGTTGGCACTTACTGTAAACAAATTAAGACACACAACCCTTTGTTTATTGGTTTAATCTTACATCCATCACTTAAAAACTGCATTGTATCTCATTTGTTTGCAGAAAATAGTTTCTCATTATTTATAAAAACATTAATGAAATATAGGTCACTTAGCAATGATTATAAATGTAGTTATTTTATATTAGTTAAATTGTTATTTTTAATGAATATTAACACATTCTAAATCATTAAAAATAAACTTTTTCTGGTCACATGCACTATAATGTTTTGGTTTTGTTTTCCATTCATCATATATTAAGGCAAACATGGTTGTTTGCCTTAATACGTGCATTCGATAATATTTTGTGATTATATGAAATAAAATTAGAATTGTATTAATAAATCTAATTTTCTTTATTTTGATTTCTAAAGTCACACCTTGTCCTATACACGAGCTCGTCTTATATATGAGTAAATACGGTATATAAATCTTGTTCCATTCTGTTATATAGATAAGATTGCTACTAGTTATGTCTGTACTGTGTGTTCTGTGATGTACTGCAATATTTTTAGTGTGTTCTGTGATGTACTGCAATATTTTTACAGTGTGTTCTGGAGACTTAGGAGAGCCAAGAATGTTTTGTAAAAATAGCCCTTTAAATGCATTGTTTCAGTGCTAAGAGGAGTTAAAGTTCAGACTAGTTCTCCCTTAAGATGCTGCTCTGCAGCATTACTAAGCACCACAGCAAAGCCTCAATCTTGCTAATCCATCAATTTCTATACCAGGGGGTTACTAAAGTGGTTGATATTGACCCCAAGGGTCACTATACCATTATTGTGGTCAATTGAAAATTGAAGCTAAAAATCACAAATATAACTATACATATTATTATGTTTTTCAGTATTGTTTCAATGAATTTAATAGTACAGCTACCTGTCAACGTGTAAAATGACTGGGATCAAGTTGCACAGGACAGGAGAAAATTGCCGAGTCCATGCTCTGGTTCTTACATAGTACATGTCAAGCATTCATAAGCTTGTATCTGATAGGCAGCACACTGACATTATTAGCTTCTCTACAAGGTGTTTATAAATGAATGGTGCAGTTTTAAAAATTAAATCTATTATGTATAAAAATAATATAAATCTTATATGGGCAAACCTTACAGTATAAGCAACAGTAACTGTCCAAGTTCACAGGAATATACATGAGCGTCTTAATTGTGTTCTTCACCAACACTGGATTGGAAGTGGTGCAACAGCAGACAACAAACTGCTCTCCTGGCCACCCCATTTGCCATTTTTTTGCCATAACACCCTACAATTTTTTTTGTGGGGGTTTATTAAAGACCGAGTTTATGTACCATCAATGCCTGTGTCCCTTGAGGAACTGTGTGATCAGATAAAGCATGCACTGCAGACCATCATGGAGAACATGCTACACTGTGTATGGGAAGAATTTGATTACTGTGTAGATGTGTCATGTGATCATGGGTGCATATATTGAAGGATTGTGATTAATGCATAAAAAACTTGGACAGTTGCCACTGCTTATGCTGTAAGGTTTGCTCATATAAGGTAATAAATAGATTTATTATTAATTTTTAAAATCACACTATTCATTTATATACACCCTGTATAACTGTTTTTAAATCATTGTTTGTTTAATTTTGGTATTTCACTTATATAAAATAAATGTAAAAAATGTAAAATTAAAAAGAAGAACTTTTTTTTGCTTTTAACACAAACTTTTTTGTAGGGGTCGGTGTGAGGTTTTGAAAAGTTGTAGGGGGTCGACAATCAAAAGAAGTTTGGTAACCCCTGTTCTATACTATACTAAAGAACCAAGAAATGCAGGAAAACCTTTCATTTTTATAAGAATGAAATGTACACTAAAAATTTTTAATGCTTTTACAAACTCTACTTTAAAAAATTAATGTACAGTACAATCACAGAATGTACAATCACAAATACACACACAATTATGTTATGTAATGTATTTGTATTTAGGCATATTTATTAATAATAATAATATATTTCATTATATTAAAATTTTCTTATTGAAGAGATATTTGAAATTTATTAACAGGTGCCTGCTGGTCTATTTATTCCTAGCATGACTATGGGTGCAATTATGGGAAGAATGGTTGGAATTGGAATGGAACAGTTAGCATTGTATGTATTTATACAATGTTGCTTTAAAAAGTTTCCAGAATTAGTTTATTACTCAAAAGTATATGTACAATTGACAAATCAGGCAATGTGTCCTTCAAAGTATTGTCCTTTGGCAACCACACACTTTTACCAATGCTGGTATAGCTGCTGAAAACATTCTTGGAAGCCCTCATGATAGCACCTGCAATGCAGATGTTGCACTCTGTATAACGTCATCTGCATTCTTCAAATGGTGTCCCTTGATGGTATCTTTCAATTAGGGGAAGAGGAGAAATTGCACGAGGTCTGCTGTGTGCATTTGTGGCATTGTGCATTGGCAAACACAGCAGTGTTTGTTCGATTGATCATGCAAGATGGAACAACAATTTCAACCAAAATTCCTGCTGTCTTAGTGATCTGCTTAATTGACTGCTTCTGTCTGACCTCACAATCTCGCATACAACCAACATTTTTTCCTCAGACATTGTTGATCACTTCGTAAATCATCAGTGATACTTTCTCATCCCTCACAAAAGCATTTTTGCCGGTCATAAACTTGAGAATGCTTCATGGCAGATTCAACATAGGCATCCTAAAGCATCTTTAGGTCTCAGAGGGTTTTTTCCCAATAACACACAAAATTTGATATTTACACATTGTTCTTCCATAGATATTTTCACCAGACTCTGTTTCATGATGTCTCACTAACACAACCTTCAGTGAATGGTAACTGTTGTCAACTTTGCAGCAAGTACAGATTTGTTTGAACACATTTCTCTATTCCTGACATGTTTAGCTAAAATAGGCATTATATTTTTCTTTTTTCATTGCCTTTAATTGACTAACCCAGCATAATTCTGGAAACTTTTTGAAGCTACCTTGTATTAACAAAGTATTAAAAATTTTACAAATTTTTAAAAATTTATGATTATTATAACTTATAAATATATGAGGGTTGTTCAATAAATAAGTTTTCCTTGTTGTAATTTTTTTACTACTTTATTGACAAATGACTACATTTCAGGCTAGTGACAAAGTTATAAATGACAAGGACTAGTACAAATGACAAGGTTAAAGGAAATTATATTGAACATTAATGGAAAAATTCCATTAATGCTCAATATAATTTCCTATAACCTTCAGATAATAGTCCTAATATTGTACTAATGTTTCAAATCATCTACAAAGAATTCTTAACACATTCATTATTGTGGCCTAACTCTTGGCATTGGTTTGAAAACAAAGACCTTTTACTCTCTCTTCAGTGCATAAGTTGTGAGATGCCAAATCAGACTGAATGGAGGATGGCTAGGGTATTCCTAGCCTAATTCAGCAGTTTTAACCTGTGTTCATGTGGCAAAGTGGGAACAAGCATTATAATTGAGAAAAATGGTACCAACTGAAAGCAGTAAAGGACAAGATATGTCAAATTGCTGATTTCACTTTATGGTTTGGCATTAAGGGTTGACCCTTTTTCTAGAAAATCAACCAGCAGAATATCCCTTGCATCCCAGAACACAGTCAAGAGTATCTTTCCTGACAGTGGAGTGACTGAAATTTTTTTGCTAGAGACTTTGGATGATTTTATTTTGTGGAATTCTGCTTGAATTCTGAGATTTAATGATGAATGAAGCTCTCATTTGTTGTCACAGTACAATGGAGGAAGTCATTGTGGTACCAAATTAGACTTTTTAGACTGCATGCCACTCTTAATGCACAATAGACAATAGAGGAGTTAGTTAACATAACACCAAACTTGTAGAAATTTATATCCCAAGTTGTTATAGATGATTTTGTGTGCTATTTTAATGGAAAAGCTATTGTGACCTCAAAACTTTAATTCTTCTGTGTGTTTTTATCATTTCATTCACTTTTGCAATTGTTACTGGGCAGTAATGTGACAATCAGGTGTGCTCTTCTCACTAGGCTGTACAGGAAATGGCCATAATTATACAATTATGCCATCTCCTGTACAACCTAGTGAGAAGAGTAGACCTGATATTCTGAGGATTTCAATTTAATAACAAATATAAAATATAGGGTGTGTATAAAGTAACTATCTATTTTTGTGAAAAAACTTTTTAATAACTTTTATTGTGTTACAAATTAATCACAAGCATGAATACAACAAAAAATATCAGGGCTGTGGAGTCACGTAAAAATCTACTGACTCCGACTCCGACTTTTCCTTACCATCCGACTTTGACTTCGACTCCGACTAGGGGCAGACTTGTTACCGAAAGAGACCCCGAAATTCTGATGTCATCACGTGACCTCAGAATAAAATTTTCAATAAATAGAGTTGTAATAAAGATAGAGCGTAGAAACTTTTTATTCCAAAGCTAAAAGACTTCTCTAAGTAATATATAAATATGTATTCGATAATTTTTACTTTCCCGGCTGTTATATATAACAGAGGAAAGTGTAGCGCTCGGTCAAAAAATGACCCCTCCCAAATTTTTACAGTTTTGGACTCGGGACACCTTGAAATTTCAAGATATGCAAAAGATTCGAGGTTTTTTCTATATGTGTGGATGTTAGACTGTGTGGGGGGGCATGATTTCGTTCACCCTGTTTGAAGTCTAATAATTTCTGTGGTCAGAGTGGTCAGAATCAGAGTCAGATGGTTTAACACAGGAGTTATTTAAGTCAAAGTGGTTGAACTAAATCATGTCCCCATATACATTCTAACATCTTAAACGAGAACATCTTAACAGGTTTTACTTTACTATTATAAAATGGCAAAAAAGCTTACTTTGAGGGTAGAGACGAGTTTTATTTTATTTTTTTAAATTTTAAACGCTAATAACGAGTAAAATATTCATTAAGAGATATGACACGTGCATAGTCTTATGTGTGGGTGCGTGGTCTTCACCCTGTCGACCTTTAATTAAGAACCAAAATTTAATAGTATTAATATCCCTTTATACGCAAGCTACAGTGCCACATTTTGTTTCTTAAACTTTACCCATTCTGAGATATTGTTTAATATCTTAGAACAGAAAGTAAAGAAATTAGACGCCAACACACACACACGCGCGAATTTTTTCCCTTTATTGACTTTTTTGAGAGGTTTGGGAGGTCTCCAAACGTGTAGATTTGCAAAAAAAAAAAAAAAAAAAAAAAAACTTGGAGGGTCAAATTTGACACGATTCCAATACTTTTCCTTTTTATATACACAACAAGTTGGGAAGTAAAAAGAAGTTGGAGTCGGCGGATTTTTTGACGACTCCAACTCCGACTCCACAGCCCTGAAAAATATAATACAATTTAACATTACTCCCCTGCATGTCAACATATAAATCCCAATGTTTAGTGATAGCATGGTAAACCCATTCTAAGATATAGGGTGTAATTGTGGTCACTGCTGCTGTTTTCTACTCTTTCAATTGATTAATGCAAATTTAACATTATATACAAATTACAATTACAAATTCAAATTTAACATTATATACCTTTTATTTGATAAAATTGTATACAAAAAAAAATATAGAGGTTATGATGTTAATTATATGTATAACACCAAGTTTCCAGCTTTTTGTTGATGTACAAAGACTACAATTGTTGCATTATTGATATATTTCACAGTTTCTGGTAATACTGGAGGTAAAAAAGGATATTTCTTATCATATACACCTCCTTTTCTTCAAAATTTGTTCATCAGAGATCTGATTATTGACATTTTTTGAAGTAGTTTCTGGAATTTAAAGGTGAACTCTTGTTTCAAATCCTTTAAAGGTCAAACCTCACAGCTGTGCCTCAACTACTACTATTTTTTTCTTCAGTTGTTAGCATACTTCACAAAATCTAGGAAAGAAATTGATTAGTCGGCATTTTCAATAAAATAGATAGATATTTGATAAACATCCTGTATAATTAATGGTTGATTGAACTGATTAATAAGGTTTTCAATTGACAAACAAAAAAAAATGATTGGTTGGTTAAAAAGTTTCATTTATTAGAGCTTGAAAATTCATTCATCTATATATATAAAATTGCTTGTCCTGACTGAATGACCTCACTCACTGATTCATCATCGCCCAGAGCAAACCGCTGAACCTAAAGAGGTGAAATTTGGTACACAGTTAGGGTACGTCATGAAAATGCACACTAAGAAATTCCCCCACAGGCAGGAAGAGAGAGGATTTAGTCTTCATCGAGTACTTAGGTGTATTAAATTAATAACATTTCAGACATTGTTATAAATATTTTTATCTATTTTGATTTTAAAAATGTTTGAACCATTTTAAATTTGAATTTGTTATTGCATTTTGGTTTGATTATAGAATGATTGTAAACATTCCAGAAAATTGATCAAATTGAAAATAGTTTGTTTGATTCTGGGCAATTCTCATCATTCTCAGCAGTAGGTGTTATATAACAATTACTATGGTTGTTGAAATACTGAATATAAATGGGGTTTGCTTGCAAAATCCTCCCGGTCGAAGTTGCGGGTAACAGCTAGTAGATGAATATATTTTAAGTGCTGCTTGTGGTTTTTATAAATTTTACATTAAATATTACTTTTCAATCTATTTACAGTCATTATCCTGATTTACCAGTGTTTCAAAAAGCTTGTTCAACAGGTGAAAATTGTATGACTCCTGGTTTATATGCAATGGTAGGTGCTGCAGCTTGTCTAGGAGGAGTGACAAGAATGACTGGTAAGATAGTTGGTTAAATACTATAATATAATATTTAACTCTTAAGTGAAAAGTGTCTGACTGATCTGTTGAGATCATTGCTACAATAAATGACAGCAATGTTTTGATTTAAACAGATAAAACATAATTAAAATAAATAATGATTTATTTAATAAGTTTTAAAAGCTGTTATAATAAAAGAGAATTATAGAACACAAGACAGTTATATAAATATTTTCAATTTATAGTTTTTTTAATTACAGTAGAGCATTGAATACCAATCAACCAAAACATCGGTTAACCAAAAGCATTCTAGTCAGCAAATTCAAATTTCCGCTAGTGCGGGCGCTGCAATGTTTGTCTATGTCTTGGGCTACTCCAATATTATTATTGTTGGTGTGCGTGTTTTAGCTGGCAACATTGGCATGACCATGAGAAGGTACTTAAGGTTGCGCCAGTATTTGAATGAGGCTTTTTCCCCCATTGTGAGTGGTGAGCTTTGCTTGTTTTGTGTGGTGTTTTTCTGAGGACTGTGTGTCGGGACATGTGTCATGCTGAATCGGAATGTTTTTTGATACTAGATTAACTTCTGAAATATAATTTTTTATTTTTTAATATATTTATTTTGTTTGTGCAAAATAAAGAAATAATTTTTAACAATACAATAGCCACGAATATTACTTTAAAAAAATTTTTGTTAGGCTTAACATCAATGAAAATTCAACACACAGCAATACACAATGGAGAAAAATTTCAACATGGGATAGGTCAATGTATTTTTTTGCATATGATCACTTATCCGAACAACCCCAGTCCTGAATTGTTTCAGATAATCAATGCTCTACTGTATTTGGAATACACAGGAATGGTAGTGTGCTAGAAAAACAAAACATCCAGATCATGCAGAATTAGGATTTTCCATGAATAATGATTTATTGGTTGATAATTTACACAAAGATTCAATTACAGCTCTTTTACATATACAGTGGGTGATCAGTTAACGAACATAATCCGTTCCAAGGCTTTGTTCATTATCCGAATTGTTCATTAACCGATTATCGATTTACCATAGGTTTTAATGGAAATCTAATTAATTCATTCTGGAGACCCTCAAAAATGAAAAATATATACTTTCTTACTATGTTCATTTATATGTAATAATAAAAATACATACATATGTAGTCTTGCATTTTTATTAGTTATGTTTTTTTTTTGTTTGTGGGGGTTAAAGAATCTGTCTAATGTCAATTGCTTTTCTCTTTTTTTTTCAAGATTTTTAGAAGTAATTAATAGCATTGTAATTGTAGAGATCCCAAAACCTATTAACTTCAACCTGGTTTGTATGCCATTCTAAGACCATTGATCTGACATCCCTCACTTCTTCAAAAGATCTTTAATTAATAGCAGATATCGGAATAAATCTTCTTTTTCATAATAAAACATATCTCGCTGAGTTTCTTGGTGTTCGTCATTCAAGAGTTCTTGGCATTCTTCTTTCATCAGATCCGTTTCAGGTTCCATTATGAGCACTTCAATGTTCTTTATTTCTCAGAAGTGATTTTTGTTATTCCTTTAGCTGCTTGAGTCTTCTTGATTATACTGTATCTTTTTTAGATAAGATTGAACTGCGCCATACTGTAGATTTGTTCCAGCCATACTGCCCAGCAACATCAGACATCTTCTGCCCACTCTCTACCTTTGCTATTTTACTTTTTGAAAATAAAACTCGAAGCAAAACTTAACGAGTGCCTGCCTGACAGTCTCATGAATACTATAAAAAATGGTTTCTGTCAGATAAATAAAAGGCTGGAATTACAAGGGAGAGTTTCAAAGTTTGGAGGAATACTATCTGATCAGTATATTCTGAGTTGAGCGTTGATGTTGACGTCTCCAGCACTCTGAAAAGTTTCGAATTGTTGCCTGAAAACAAGGAAAAATCAATTGGTATTCGCATTTTCGTCGCTTCTTTTTATGTTTGTTCAGTGAAGTGTTTGTTATCCGAACATCTGTTTGTTGTCCGATCATAAAAATCTTTCGCAAAAGTGTTCATTATCTGATTTGGTTGTTAACTGATCTGTTCGTTAACCGATCACCCACTCTATATGATATAATTAATTTCACAGATTACTAAGTAATTTAAATAGTATTTCTGAACTAATCAGAGCAATAATACATTCTTATTCAAGATATGAAGTGGTATTAGTTGCTATAAAGATGTTGACATTGAAAGTAGGAAGAAAATTGAGTTATGAAAACAGAAAAAAATTGAAGATTTAAGAGCTTAAAAATATCTTCTTGAAAAAACTCATAATTTAGAAATAAATGATATACATTGAAAATGCATTTTCAATGTATTCATTTCAAATATTGTATTCAAATATTTTCAAAAATTTTTGAAAATATTGATTTTTGATATTTAAAAATATTGATATTTGAATGAATATATTTGAATACATGAAAATGAATACATTGAAAATGAATGCACTTTCAATGTATTCATTTTCAATGTTTTTTTTATCAATTTTTTATTGATACAAAAAGATGAACTTTTTACAAGACATAAATTATATTTTGTTTCTAAAAAAAAATAAAGTCCTGTTTTTTTAATAGCATTATTATTCTTTAAATAATTGTATAATACACACATTGATGGTTATCAATGTGTGTATTATGATAATATAAAGTATAAATGTAAAATAAATAATACTTGTTTTGATTCTTTGAATATGAAAAAAATGGATTTTATTTATAATTAAAGCTTATTTGTTAGCATGTTACAGAAAACGTTCAACTTTAACTGACATATGTACAGTACATAGAATTAATTAATTGTAATTATTAAAATTATGATAAGATATCACTATTACCTTTAATTACAAATTATTTAATAATCTGAATTAGCCTATTTATATATACATTATAAGCTAAAGCCAAATATCCAACTATTTGGTTATTAAAAAATTTAGGTTCAAACAAAATAATATAATATTCAAAATAGCTTAAATGAATATTTAAAATATATAAATATAAAAGAAGGAATGTCAATAACTTTCATAAAATTAAAAACATTTGTTCTAGTTATGTAGTTGTTTAAATTCTGTATTTTTATTTAATTCAAAGAATTTTAATATAATTTAAGGAGTCAAGTTATTTCTAATTAAACATTTATGAGATCTTTTCTTCTTATTGTAAGATTGAACACTTAATGGATACAAAGAACAAACAAACAAAAATTTTGATGACAAGTAATAGATTCCAACAGCAATTACATTTCTGTTGATTGAATCTGTTACTTATTGTAGGAATTTCTTCACTTCTGTGTTCAAATCTGATAATGAAACAATAATGTCTCAAAAAAACATTTAATCAGAAATAAGTTGACTCCTTGAAATATATAGTAATTCTTTGAATTATTTAAATTACACTTAGAAGTTTTTAAACAATTTAGCATTATCTTCAGAATCTAGCTTATTTATAAATTATAGCTCTTTAATGAAAATAAGAATTTAGAATTTTAATATATATATATATATCTCAATTTTAGTTGGTTAAAATTATACAAAGTTATTTATTTATTTATATACTCATTACAGAAAGCTGTAATGAGTAAATAAATAAATATATTGTTTTCCAGGTCTTAAGACTTGGGAAACAGTCTAAATCAATTTGAAATCTTTCAAATTGTCTTTTGATCTGATTATTTTTTTTTGTTTTTTCCTATATATGTAATTGTTAAAATTCTTTGTATGCCATGCTAGATAAGGCATGGCATACAAAAAATAAGTCAATAAATTTGAATTGAAATTTCTTTTCAAAATTTTTATATAATTTAAAATATTATAAAATAATACAAAAATAAAATAATTAAAGTTTAAGTAAATAAAAGTTAATTTAATAATGCAGATGATTGAAAATTGCTTCAATATTAAAATACAGTATGCTGTTTTGCAAGAATTATTATTAACTAATAATAACTAATAGTCATAAGAATATTTTATGTTCATTATCAGTATTAAATGATCTAATTTTTTTTCAGTTTCACTTGTAGTAATTATGTTTGAATTGACTGGCAGTGTAAATTACATTGTGCCTTTGATGGCTTCTGTCATGGCAAGCAAATGGGTTGGAGATGCTTTAGGAAAAGAAGGAATGTATCCTTGTTTTTATATGTAGAGAGATGTGTTTAATGGTTAATAATAATAATAATAATCACTTATTACTGAAATATGATCACAAAATATTTTTCCTTGTCTATTTATCTATTTGGTTAACTAAGCAAAAACAAAATTCACATGATTGTGCTAATTTATTCTAAAACGTTAGATTGTGATATTTATAAAGTGTACAATATTTTATAAATTGATAATGTAAAATAATAACTAGAGACTTCTAAAAAAAAAACACTTTTTTGAGAAAATATCTTCAGAGCCTTTAATTTCAAGTTTTAGAACTAAAGGCTTTGAAAATCCAAATTTTTATATTTGGAGACCTATAATGTGTGTGATATAAAATGAATTGTATTATCTATTATTTGTGTGATTTTTTTTTAATGCACTCATTTATGAAATAAAGATTGAGACAAAAAACTTTGAAAAATTTTTTATTTCAAATAATAATAACTGGATCTTATTTACAAAATATAATTCTGAAGAAAATACCATTTTGTGCAAAGTATGATAATTAAATCTAATTAGATATATGTAAAGCAAGACAGATGAGAATAAAGTAATAATAGAAATAATCCAAATCAGAAGGGGATGAAGGGAGATTAGGAAAGAAGAATAAGATATGACTATTATGATGATTTAAACACAATTAGTTTTAAAGTCATCTAATTGATTGTCTACACTAGTCATTCTATTCAAATTACATTTAAATTTTGAAACTTTTTAATGAATTATTATAAAATTAAATTTTAAATTCTAACTGAAATGTTTTGTTAATTTAAGTGAATAATGATTACCAAAGATTTGTATGAGATTTGATTTTCTGTTAAAATTTAAGTTTGGAAGTTTGAATGCTTTTAATGTAAATTATTGTATTAGAGATTCTCAGATATTTCTTTTCAGTATCATAATTATACTACAATTTTTTAATGATGTTTCAATATTTATCTTAACACATTTTAGTTACGATGCACATATTCATTTAAATGGTTATCCATTTCTTGATAGCAAAGAAAAGTTTACTCATACCACACTTGCTGCTGATGTAATGAGACCAAAGTAATTAATTTTTATTTTAATTATTTTTTTTATTACATTTTATAGTCTAATAAGAAAAATATTTTCAGGAGAAATGAAGGTCCTTTATGTATTATTACCCAAGACAGTATGACTGTGGATGATATTGGTAAGTTTTCATATTATAAGTATTGCACGTAATGAATTTTTTTATTTTTCCAAAAAAGTAACTGTTGCAAAAACTGAGAAAAAAATGAAATAGTTTTACTGATTAAAAATTCTACAGAGTTATTTCTAACAGAACATATTGCTAATCAATAATACATAAATTAAATTTGATAGAACTAATTTTAAGAGAATAAAATGCATTTTATTATCTAGAAACAAAATATTGATGACAAATATAGAAAATCAATAAAATTTATCGGATAAAGTTAGTTTTTATTCACAATATATCATTTCATTGAATTGTCTAATACAGTAAGTTATATTTTATAAGATAACTAGCTTACCCGTCGCGCATTGCTGCGATCTCAGAAGAAAGGAAATTCAAGCAAACTTGTTACGATAAAATTCAATTTACANAAATTAAAAACATTTGTTCTAGTTATGTAGTTGTTTAAATTCTGTATTTTTATTTAATTCAAAGAATTTTAATATAATTTAAGGAGTCAAGTTATTTCTAATTAAACATTTATGAGATCTTTTCTTCTTATTGTAAGATTGAACACTTAATGGATACAAAGAACAAACAAACAAAAATTTTGATGACAAGTAATAGATTCCAACAGCAATTACATTTCTGTTGATTGAATCTGTTACTTATTGTAGGAATTTCTTCACTTCTGTGTTCAAATCTGATAATGAAACAATAATGTCTCAAAAAAACATTTAATCAGAAATAAGTTGACTCCTTGAAATATATAGTAATTCTTTGAATTATTTAAATTACACTTAGAAGTTTTTAAACAATTTAGCATTATCTTCAGAATCTAGCTTATTTATAAATTATAGCTCTTTAATGAAAATAAGAATTTAGAATTTTAATATATATATATATATCTCAATTTTAGTTGGTTAAAATTATACAAAGTTATTTATTTATTTATATACTCATTACAGAAAGCTGTAATGAGTAAATAAATAAATATATTGTTTTCCAGGTCTTAAGACTTGGGAAACAGTCTAAATCAATTTGAAATCTTTCAAATTGTCTTTTGATCTGATTATTTTTTTTTGTTTTTTCCTATATATGTAATTGTTAAAATTCTTTGTATGCCATGCTAGATAAGGCATGGCATACAAAAAATAAGTCAATAAATTTGAATTGAAATTTCTTTTCAAAATTTTTATATAATTTAAAATATTATAAAATAATACAAAAATAAAATAATTAAAGTTTAAGTAAATAAAAGTTAATTTAATAATGCAGATGATTGAAAATTGCTTCAATATTAAAATACAGTATGCTGTTTTGCAAGAATTATTATTAACTAATAATAACTAATAGTCATAAGAATATTTTATGTTCATTATCAGTATTAAATGATCTAATTTTTTTTCAGTTTCACTTGTAGTAATTATGTTTGAATTGACTGGCAGTGTAAATTACATTGTGCCTTTGATGGCTTCTGTCATGGCAAGCAAATGGGTTGGAGATGCTTTAGGAAAAGAAGGAATGTATCCTTGTTTTTATATGTAGAGAGATGTGTTTAATGGTTAATAATAATAATAATAATCACTTATTACTGAAATATGATCACAAAATATTTTTCCTTGTCTATTTATCTATTTGGTTAACTAAGCAAAAACAAAATTCACATGATTGTGCTAATTTATTCTAAAACGTTAGATTGTGATATTTATAAAGTGTACAATATTTTATAAATTGATAATGTAAAATAATAACTAGAGACTTCTAAAAAAAAAACACTTTTTTGAGAAAATATCTTCAGAGCCTTTAATTTCAAGTTTTAGAACTAAAGGCTTTGAAAATCCAAATTTTTATATTTGGAGACCTATAATGTGTGTGATATAAAATGAATTGTATTATCTATTATTTGTGTGATTTTTTTTTAATGCACTCATTTATGAAATAAAGATTGAGACAAAAAACTTTGAAAAATTTTTTATTTCAAATAATAATAACTGGATCTTATTTACAAAATATAATTCTGAAGAAAATACCATTTTGTGCAAAGTATGATAATTAAATCTAATTAGATATATGTAAAGCAAGACAGATGAGAATAAAGTAATAATAGAAATAATCCAAATCAGAAGGGGATGAAGGGAGATTAGGAAAGAAGAATAAGATATGACTATTATGATGATTTAAACACAATTAGTTTTAAAGTCATCTAATTGATTGTCTACACTAGTCATTCTATTCAAATTACATTTAAATTTTGAAACTTTTTAATGAATTATTATAAAATTAAATTTTAAATTCTAACTGAAATGTTTTGTTAATTTAAGTGAATAATGATTACCAAAGATTTGTATGAGATTTGATTTTCTGTTAAAATTTAAGTTTGGAAGTTTGAATGCTTTTAATGTAAATTATTGTATTAGAGATTCTCAGATATTTCTTTTCAGTATCATAATTATACTACAATTTTTTAATGATGTTTCAATATTTATCTTAACACATTTTAGTTACGATGCACATATTCATTTAAATGGTTATCCATTTCTTGATAGCAAAGAAAAGTTTACTCATACCACACTTGCTGCTGATGTAATGAGACCAAAGTAATTAATTTTTATTTTAATTATTTTTTTTATTACATTTTATAGTCTAATAAGAAAAATATTTTCAGGAGAAATGAAGGTCCTTTATGTATTATTACCCAAGACAGTATGACTGTGGATGATATTGGTAAGTTTTCATATTATAAGTATTGCACGTAATGAATTTTTTTATTTTTCCAAAAAAGTAACTGTTGCAAAAACTGAGAAAAAAATGAAATAGTTTTACTGATTAAAAATTCTACAGAGTTATTTCTAACAGAACATATTGCTAATCAATAATACATAAATTAAATTTGATAGAACTAATTTTAAGAGAATAAAATGCATTTTATTATCTAGAAACAAAATATTGATGACAAATATAGAAAATCAATAAAATTTATCGGATAAAGTTAGTTTTTATTCACAATATATCATTTCATTGAATTGTCTAATACAGTAAGTTATATTTTATAAGATAACTAGCTTACCCGTCGCGCATTGCTGCGATCTCAGAAGAAAGGAAATTCAAGCAAACTTGTTACGATAAAATTCAATTTACATTTTATTATTTTTATTGAAACTTATTATTATTATTATTATTATTATTTTTTATTTAATACAACAATAATAAAAAAGTCTAGATTAATAAATAGTCTAAAGTTTTTGGGTGAGGTTTCCATGCGATGAGTGATGATCACAACTAATCACCTGGACTAGTCTCTCTCTCTCTCTCTCTCTCCTTCTAA